TGTGAAACTCCATGGAGAAACAAATTAGTCTGCACATTTTTACAGCTGTGTTAAGGTAATAAAAAATGTAAGGCTGGGCGCGGTGGCTCACGCTTATAATGCCAGCACACTTTGGGAGGCCGAGGTGAGTGGATCACCTGAGGTCAGGAGTTTGAGACCAGCCTGGCCAACATGGTGAAGCCCTGTCTCTACTGAAAATACAAAAATTAGCTGGGTGTGGTGGCATGTGCCTGTAATCCCAGCTAATCGGGAGGCTGAAGCAGGAGAATTGCTTGAACCCAGGAGGTAGAGGTTGCAATGAGCCGAGATCGCGCCATTGCACTCCAGCCTGGGCAACAAGAGTGAAACTCAGTCTCAAAAAAAAAAAAGTGCGTTTTTAAATTGCGGTTTGGATTTCGAATTAGTATTTCAAATACTGTTAGATTGGGGATGGGCGGGGGTAAATATCCAGTATTAGACTCCCTTTTCTTAAGAAGCTAAAGTTTAGTTGGCAAATATAAGACTTACATGAATTTTAAAAATCATACATAGAGTATGCCACATAATCCAATACCATTCTAGGCACCTTCTATGTACTAACTCATTTATTCTTCATAATAACGCCTTATTACAGGTGTGGAAACTGAAGAACTGAGGAATTAAATACTTTACACAAAGTCACACAGGAGCCAGGATTCACACCTAGTCAGCCTGGTTCCAGAGGTTCTTTTTTTTCTCTGTTCTGGCTTCTCAGTAATCAGAGGTTCTTAAATGCCTCTAGTGTCTTCATCGTTTTCTTTCAAATATTGTCATACCATATCATACTGTACAATAACAACATTATAATAATGTGTTGTAAAAATGGATGATCTTGAAAAACCATTCTTTTAAAGCAATTCTGTTGTTTGAGTGGTTCTAATATTTAAATGGTTAGATTCTCTACACTTGATCTCAGCCAAAAGGCCAAAAAATGATTAAATGCTTAGATTCTCTTACATGTGAGAAGCTTATACATATACATGTGCAGAGTGTGGGATGTAAGCACTTAATAAATGCTGACTCTGAATCATAGTGTTTTCAAGTGGTGAGATCCACAGTGATACCAGAAACAATGAAAGTAGTCAGTTTAACTTGGGGAATATAGGAAGACAGAAATCAGTTAGAAACAAATTGCCAGTGTGATCCTTTTAACAGTGATTAGATCATGTCATTTCCCTGCTCTGACCCCTCTAATGGCCTCCCCTCATACTTAAAATCCAACGCCTTTACCATACTTACCAGGCTCTCTTTTCCTCAATTTCTGCCATTCTTTTCCTCATTTACTACTTCTCAGCATACAGCAGTCATCTTTCTATCACTTAATCACTGCCCTCTGACCAAAGACCACCAGGAACACATCTATAGAACAAAGGTGGATTGTGTTGACTCATGACAAGGGGGGAGAGAAGTGTGTTTCTTCTCAGTAAAAGGTCGGGGAACATGGAAAACTGTGTTTCAACTCAGTAAATAGGTGTTAAAAGGAACTTGTCGTTGGATTTTGGCTTGTATTAGTGATTTGGGGGAGAGTTCTAGGAAGCAGGACTATCTGGAAGTGAGAGTAATCTGTGATTTGGCAGTTTAATAATTTTTATATCTAAGGCAAGAGGAAGGAAGGAAGAGCTAAAACTGTAATTGTAAAGAAGTAGCAGCCACTCCTCCAGGAAAGAAGTGTTTGGTGTTTTGGTGTTTTATGGTTTGGGTCACAACATTTTTTGGGGGTTTCTGAACTGAGATACGATTACGGAGTGATCTTGTTCTTTCTTTGGTTTATCATCATCCCAGGGTGGCTTTGTCTAATGTTGGTGGTTTGAGGTATTGTTTGTGTTCAACAAAAGAATACAATAGCAAGTCCAGATCCTACACCAAGGCCTAGCTGACAGTACTAAGCTAGCTCCTGGCTGTCAGGAGCTTCTCTTCTCTTTCTTATCATGAACATGTGAAATATGCTCACTTTAGAACCTTTGTACTTTTTTTGGTCTCTTCTGCTTGGTATATTCCTCTTCAAATACTCATTCTGCTTACTCCATCATTTCATTTAGACCTAAGCTCAAATGTTATCTTAGGGAGGCCATCTCTGTCCATTCTTTCTCTGAAATAACATTTTCAGAACTTGCTATTCCTTCACCCTGCTCTATTTTTCTCCATGGCACCTAGAACTACTTAACTTTATATTATGTTTTTATTGTATTGTATTGTATTGTATTGTATTGTATTGATTTTGAGACAGCGTCTCACTCTGTTGCCCAGGCTGGAGTGCAGTGGTGTGATCTTAGCTTACTGCAGCCTCCACCTCCTGGGTTCAAGTGATTTTCCTGCCCTCAGCCTCCCGAGTAGCTGGGACTTACAGACACGTGCTACCATGCTTGGCTAATTTTTATATTTTTTGTAGAGGCAGGGTTTCACCATGTTAGCCAGGCTGGTCTCGAACTCCTGGCCTCAAGCGATCCGCCCACGTTGGCCTTCCAAAGTGCTGGGATTATGGGCGTGAGTCACCATGCCTGGCCTATTATTTTATTTTTACCTATCTTTCCTGCTAGAATATACAGTCCTCAGGAGCATGGATTACATAGATCACAATGTGAATGGTGCCCTCTGGAGTCGTGAAGTGTCATCCTGCTTCGATAGGGGCCTTGTCTCTTCTCTTTATACATTTATCCCCATCAGTCAGAACACTACCCTGTGTTCACTACCCTGTGTTCACTTGGTCCTTGGTAAATATCTGACAATGAATAAGTGTTTAGAAAGAGGACATTGTATCTGATCAATCCTTTGTGGGGTGGGGGTGTCCAGTGTACTCTGAACAGTGAGAACAAGAGGATAACAAGAAATAATCATTTAACATTATCCTATTAAAGTATTGTATAATTGCTTAGAGTACAATTTATATGAATTCATGTTCTTACATTCTTTTTACTCTCAATTGCAATTTTAGGGATCAAAGGAAGCAGTTCCAGGTACTGGTAGAGAACAAGTTTTATGAATGGTTGATTAATACAGGACATCGCCAACAGCTGGATAGCCTTGTACCCCCTGCTGCAGGCTCCAAACAAGCGGCTGGATAAGGATCTTACATGCAAACACTGGTAGGCATTTCTACCACTTAAAACAGATTCTTTTGGGGAAATGTTTCAAGCATAATTAAAAAGGCACAGAATATTATATACTAAACATGCCCAAATTTTCTTCTACCACTCCTACCAGCATACACAGACCTTTGTGTACCCATATTTACCATATTTTATAGTGAGAAAACCAACCAAAATATTCAGATGGAGCCTGTAGAATTTGGGGCCAATATAATGGCCAAATTTTGTCTTTTTTTGCTTTTTGCCTGGCACAAGTTATATTGTCCAAAGATACCACATTCCCCCATACATAGTTTTGTTATTAACGACAGTCACCATGTTGTACATTAGATCTCTTAAATGTATTCCTCCTATCTAACTGAAATTTTGTAACCAAAGATGTTGGATGTGGCATTGTTTGAAAAAACTGTAGACTAGAAACACCCCAAATGCAATGTATTTATATGCTAATTATATGCCTAACAATCTTTGAAAGAATATAAATAAATTATAAACAGTGTTTGTCTTTGAGGAATGAGATTGGGTGTCTAGGGTAGGAGAAAACTTCTTAAAAATTTTGTTGAGATAAAATATTACCACATAACATTATGGGAAGTAAAATTCACCTTTTTAAAGTAAAGAATTCAGTAGTTTTTAAGTATATTCACAAGTTTGCGCAACTGTCACCACTAAAAATTCCAGAACATTTTCATCACCCTCAAAATAAAGCTCGTACACATTGTAGGCCACTCCTCATTCCTCCAACCCCCTGTATTTCCTCTTCCCCTTAGCCCTTGACAACCACTAATCTACTTTGTCTGTTTTGAACATTTTATGTAAATGGAATCATGTGACATGTGACTTCTTATGTCTGGGTTCTTTCACTTAGCCTAGTATTTTCAAGATTGATCCATGTAGCCATGTATCAGTACTGCATTCTTTTTCATGGCCAGATAATATTCATTGTGTGAATCTACCATTTTGTTTATCTGTTCATCAGTTGATGGACATTTGGCTTGTTTTTACTTTTCAGCTGTTGTGAGTAATGCTCTGTGTACATTTGTGTACAAGTTTTTGTGTAGACATTTGTTTTTATTTCTCATGGGTATATACCTAGAAGTAGAATTGTGAGGAATATGTTTAACTTTTTAAGGAACTGCAGTTTTCCAAAGCTGTAAAAGTGTATTTTTTACTTTATATATTTACATTTCTTAAGGATGTATTTTTTTAAAGAATTTAGCAATATTTATTCATAAATACTGAGAATTAAGAATTAGCAGTTTTGCTGAGCACAGTGGCCCATGCCAGTGCTTTGGGAGGCTGAGGTGAGAGGATCTCTTGAGGCCAGCAGTTCAAGACCAGCCTGGGCAATATAATGAGACCCTGTCTCTACAAAAAATTTAAAAATTAGCTGAGCATGGTGACACATGCCTGTAATCCCAGCTACTCTGGACACAGACTGGAGGATCCCTTGAGCCCAGAAGTTCAAGGCTGCAATGAGCTATGATTGCACCACTGTATTCCAGCCTGGGCAACAGAGTGAGACCCTATCTTTAAAAAAAAAAAAAAAAATTAGAAATCTGATGGAGATTATGCAAAAGAAATGTGAACTATAAGCGGGTAAAAAATTTTGTTTAATCTTCACTGCTTAACAATTTTTTTGTATTCATGTATGAATTTCTCTTTTATTATGATCTAACATTATACCTAGCAAAAAGGAATGTTACTAATCTTAAACTTTGTGTATTTTACATTCTAATCTATCGTTTGACCTTGATAATTTATGTGATTTTTTTAAACATAGAGTTTTAAAATTATTTACATGAAGACAATAGAAAATTAAGTGATTAATATTATTTTTTCTTTGATCTTCAGGGCCCTGGAAATACAAGGATAAATGGAGGATGGTGCTCATCTTGAAACTAAATTGGGAAGGTGCTCTTGCGGCTTAAGAGACATTGGGACTTTTCTGTCCTTTTTTTTTTTTTTTTTTTTAGATAGTCTTGCTCTGTTGCCCAGCCTGGAGTGCAGTGGCGGGATCTCCGCTTACTGTAAGCTCCGCCTCCCGGGTTCAGGCCATTCTCCTGCCTCAGCTTCCTGAGTAGCTGGGACTACAGGCGCCTGCCACCACACCCGGCTAATTTTTTTTGTATTTTTAGTAGTGACGAGGTTTCACTGTGTTAGCCAGGATGGTCTCGATTTCCTGACCTCGTGATCCACCCTCCTCGGCCTCCCAAAGTGTTGGGATTATAGGCATGAGCCACCACACCCAGCCTTCTGTCCTACTTAAGAACTTTGATTTCCATTCCATATTCATTTATTACTGTGTAGGCTGAATTTTTGCTAAACTTCTGACTTTTATATAAATGTATTGTTTATAGAACATCAGAAGACTTATCTTTGTGATGCCCAAATGAAAAAGTTGGTGAAGGTAGTACCATTGTATGTATGTTAATATTAAAGCAACTGAGTGTAGATTTGCAACTATAATATGTATCTTCATTTGTGTGATGAAAGAATTTTATTCTTTCTGGAGTTAAATAAGAGTTTTACAGTTCTTTGTAACTATTTAAAAGGAAATTGCTACTCCTTTAAAAAAATAATTTTAAAGAAAGTATGACTTGTTGGTATATAGATATAGCAGAAATAGTTTTATACTATATTTTAGTCCTTAAAGTATGGAACTTCATGAAATTGTGTAAAAAAATCTTTATTTTTCACGTCCTGCTTCAAATTTTCAATAAACAAACTCCAAAGAAATATTTCCTATTTTTGTAAAAGACATAGCTTTACTTTTAATTTTAGAAAAGGTTTCCAGTGTTATTCCTCAAAATGTCAAGTAAAGTTTCCATTTGACTGGGAAAACGTTCTTTCAGATAAGTGAGTGAAATTGTCAAATTACCAAACGAGTGAAACGAATCAGATTGCTGATAAACATTGGTTTGTATGCTCTCTGGCCATTTAATTAGTAATTCTATCAAAAAAGTCTTTTGTATTTCTAAAGTAAAAATTAACCCTCAGAATGTTTAATTCTAATTGAAGTTTACATAGTTTTTATTTTAAGAAGAAATGTAAGAAGCAGACTATTACCAAGTAAACACTGGAGTAACAGAAATATATTTTAGATATTGCTATTTGTTAATGAAATAAATGATACTCAGACACTTTTTTTAAAGTTTATAAAATTCAGAAAACTAAGCATATAGCTTAATATTTTCTCAGTAATCTTTATATCAAGGCACATTTGCCATTTTCTGAATTGACCATAATACATCCCATTTATTAAGATATTTGTTGGATAGTTTTATTAATAGAAAGATGAGGAAGTTGGACTTTTGAGAATATACTTGATCAGTTAAAGTTAAAAATGGAGAAAAGTTAATTATTTGTTGTTGTTGTTTTGTATTTACATAAGATGCAATCTCATTCCTAAAGTCAGAGGTGTATTAGGGCCAAAAAATGTTCTCCAAACAGGTTTGAATGTTATATTATGGGCAAAGAAGACCACCTAGCCGGTAGCAGGTTGTGTTTAGTTAGGTAACTCTTGGCAAATTCAGGAGTCCCAAGTCACTTTTCTACATACAGTGGCACCCTTCTTATGAATTAGAGCTCTTTTTCTAAAAAGAAATTGTGTTTTGAAAAAATTAAATAATAGTTGCAAGAATAAGTTAGTGAACTTTAACATACCCTTTATCTAGATTCGATTTGCCAGTTGTTAACATTTTGCTACATTCTCTTTACCACTCTCGACATGATAGTATTGTTTTATTTTTGCTCAACAATTTGAGAGTTAGGTTGCAGACATCTTGAACCTTTCTTCTAAATGATAGCATACATGTCCTAGAAACAGACATTCTCCTACCTAGTCATGGTACAATGATCAAATTCAAGAAGTGAAACTTTGGTACAATAGCATTATCTAATTTACAGTCCATATTAAAATGTTTCTGATTGTCCCAGCAGTGTTCTTTATAGTGACTTTTTTCCCCAAACACAAGATCATGCATTGCATTTAGTTGTCATGTAAGTTTTGTTGCTTTTAGAACGTGTCGCTTCTGTCCAGAATTAGAGATAGTCTTCTGACTCTTACGTCTTACAAGCTTTGTTGAAGAAAAAGGACATTAGGAATTTCAAAGAGGCTGCTTCCTATTAAAAAAAAAAGCAAAAAGGGACTCTTTTGTTTTTAATTTTTACAACTTTGTCTGGGTTTTGGTTTCTTGACTCAGCAAAGTCTATAATGCAGCAGGGCTTGGTAAGCATTAAAGGCAGTACTGAAGCTTTCCTTTATTTTATAATCCCAGTTGTTTTTTCTAGAAACCATCAATAGCGTCTAAATGACTGACTCAATTTTTGGATCCTGTTCTCATGACTAAGCAAATGTTTGACTGAAACCAGCCCATATAAATGTCACTGTGCCTCTAACTCTCTGTAGCCATTCCTGAATTTCTTTCAGCACTGGGCAAACCAGTCTGTGCACCAAAAATGTCTAAAACTGGAACCAAGGTAAGTAGTCATATTGATTTTTAGCCTACCCACTTTTCACCTAATGATACATTAAACACACAGAAAAGCTTTTGCTTTTTTGCCTAGAGGTGAGTATGATAGTGGCTAGAGAACTGGGATTGAGAGAGAAGATTAAGAAATGCTTATTATATTTTCTACTCTTAACAGAATTACCAAACATTATTAAGGGTTTATCTTTATGTACGGTGCTATGTTGAATACTAGACAGGTAAATAATTTATAAATATCACTATTATTTCTGCCTTCTAGCAACTAATATTCTATGCAACTGATATTCTCCATAGGAATAAGACATGCTAATGGGGATTATATGGAGAAGAAAACTTTTAATAATCAATTAAAATTTTGTTTTCTGAAATATAGCCTCAACCATTAGTGTTCTAAAAGACCAAAGTGGATGGGCTAATCAGGTGAATAAACTCCTACATCTCTCCTTCATTCAAGCAATTATTTTTACTTGTTTCCCAAATAAAGTGCTCCCTTATAGTCAGAAAATTGCCTCTAAAGTATTTGACTCACGATTGCTGGATTGGAAATTATTCTCTCAGGTAGGGCTTTGGGAATGAGGGAATATGCCTTCATCTTCTTTTTAGCTCTTGCACTGATGAGACAAAACCGCTGCGTGATTTTTACCCCCAGCTATTCGAAAATTTTCAAACCCATTGAATCTTCAAAGAATGGGAAAGAAATGTTGAATGAATATTTGTTTATCTTTCACTTATATTCTCCAGTTGTTGACATTTTGCCATATTTGGTCTCTCCTATCTCCATCTCTTTCTCTTTACTAAATCATTTCAAAATTAGTAGCAAACTTTATTATACTTTTGCCTTGAGTATTTAGGCATGTATCTCCTAAAAACTAGGGCATTTCCCTGTATAAACACTGTATCATTAGCGTGTCCCCAAGATTTACCATAAATACAATAGCTAATATTGAGACCATATTCAAATCTCCCCTGATTGTCCCCAGAAACGTGCTCCATGGTAGCCTTTTCCCCAATACAGGATCAAAAACGTGTATTGCACTTGGTTGTCATGTCTCTTTATTCTCTTCAATTTTTTTAGCCCCTACCCTTTTGTTGTTGTTGAGACACTGACATTTTTCAGAGCCTAGGTTAGATGTCTTTTAGGAAGTCTTGCAATCTAGATTTGTCTAATTGTTTCCTCATGTTTAGATTCAGAATAAATATCTTTGCCAAGAAAGCTACATAGGCAATGTTGTATACTTCCTGTTGCATCATGTCAGAGGTACCTGTTAACTTGTTCTGTAATTTAGTGTCTTTAGTGCTCTGAGGTTCTTGAAAATATACCATGCAAATCCACTAAAAAAGAATTTTAAGTCCTTAAAGGAGGGATATCCATGTGTCTTGAGGTAAAGCTGTTATATAACCATCTTAGATGAAAACATCTGCTTTTAAAGATTTGCAGAGTAGTAATAGTGTACTCTTTTTTATTTATAGCTGAGTTGTTCATTTAGTTAAATAACTTTTGCTTGCTAGGGTAAAGTAGATAGTAAATTATTTCTTACTCTTTCTCATTGCTTCTTCCTTTCCCACTATCCTGCTAGCAGTTTAATCAGAGGAGTTATGGGCTTGGCAAAAGGAATAGATTTAACTAAGTATGTTTTCATTACCTCTGGGATACTCAAGACATTTTTCTCTCTGCTGTATTGGATTAGTAGGCCATTTTTCCACAAATAAACCTGATAATGATAGGAATTTTGTAACAATTTCTGAGAAAACTTTCTGCACATTTCTTAGCCTTCTCTACAAAATGTTTTGCCCAAGGGTCAAAACCTCTAAGCTGACAATAGCATGGATTTCATGGTTATTCTACAAATAGAAATTGAGCACAGCTCGGTGCAACATTCTTTGGCTCTGAGATATAGAAGGTCTCCCACTGAAAGGAGAGCTTAGTCTTGGAGCTCAGTAATGATTCCATAGCAACAGGATGAGGGCTTTGTTTCAACTGTTGGATGGTTGGCTGGTCTCCTGGGAGGGTGGACATCAGGTGACCTTATCAGGTGTCATGTATATTTTTACTTAGCAGATACTGATAATTAGTCAAGCAAATGTGCAGCAGGCAGTAAATGTGAGAAACTATGAAGTGAAATCAATGGTATTATTAACTTCATTTCCCGTAGGATATCTTTTGCAAAGGCTCTTCTTGGTGACTATTTGGTCAAAAACCAAAGGCAAATAGAACATATGAATTAAGGAGTTTAGAATCTATCCATTCTCAGATAAGTTATTTGACCTTCCTAAAGATCTCTCCACAGGTCACGAGGAAGGGCCCCTCAGGCTTAGGCCCAGCCTTGTTTCTTGTCCAAGAGAGTAAGTGCTGCCATGTTAAACGAAGCTAACTGTGCAGGCAGAAAGACAGCAAAGGAAAATAAAGTGAACAATAGGTTGCTCACCAGGAGTTTTGCACTGCAGCTCACCAGCTTGTCTGCAACTAACTTGTAACTAGGTAGTGACATTAGGCCAATCACTTAACTTCTTCATCTGTAAAAACTGTAGCAAAAGCTTATTGCCAATTGTGAGTCAGCTATTAAACTAAGTACTTTATCAACATCCCCTTGGACCCTCAGAACATACCATCTGCAAGAGACACTGTCATGCTGTTTTGCAAATGAAGAGCTGTAGAGAAAGGTTAATTGCCCTGTCCAAGGTCACATGGCAAGAAAGCAGTAGTACTGGGATTTTTTTTTTTTTCTTCACCCATAAACTGAGGTGCCATGTATCTAAATCTATATACTGTGCTAAGATGGGAAGGGAACTGAAACACATAAAGAAATTTGGGCAGGGGGTAAAGGAGATGAAGTAGATGATTTAGGGGTGGGAAGGAAAAACGACCCTTTTAGGGAACAGGAAAGAGAATAGTTGAAATAAATGGGAAGGGAAGGGAAAGATTAAGGTGGAGGGAAATAATTATTAGTATATTAGTATCTAGATAGAAAGAAATACCCAGGGTAGAGGAGAATGAGGTTTTATGCCTTTTTGTGAGTCATTCTTGGTTTCTTCCTCTCCTCATTCCCTCCATCTAATTAGTCACCAAATCCTGAAGTTCTTTACTGGTTTCTCATCATCATTCACATTGGAGTTGCATTTTGGTTGGCCGTCATCATATCTCACCTGGCCCACAGCAGCCATCTGTTTCTAGACACACACTACTAAGTCCAACTCACTCATAATCACCAAAGGGATTCCAGCGTGGTTCTTGTGTCATTTTTCTGGCTTTATTTTCTAATACTTCACCACATGTTCAATATGTACTGGGTTTAATGAACTACTTATTGTCCCTATAATGGGCCATGTTCTTTCAGTTCTTTATTCTTTTGAACATGTTTGTTCCTTTTCATTTGCCTCTGGAAAATACCTACTTATCCTTCAATCCTCAGCTCAAAGATCCTGTCAAGACAATACCTGGCTCTGCTCCTTTCATCTGAAATGACTCACATAATTTTCTCCCCTGAAGTCCATAAAGTAAATCAGCCACAAGGTGGCAGCATAATGCCAGGTAATTAACTGTTCAAAGCATGACACCTGTGATTTCAGTTTATAACCTAGCATTGATCTGAAATTCCATCTTAAAAAAAAAAAAAAAAGATGAAAATATTGTGGAATTATTGAATAACAAGGGACAAGCTCTGTAGCCCATTTGTAGTTTTCATCATGGTTTTCAGGAACCGCTTGGTGAATCCTTGGGAGTTCCTAGGAACTCTGTCTCCTGTTTTAGCCAGAAAAGCTCTGAGAGTTGTTTTAAACCCTGGACTTCCAGTCTGCTGTAGTCTTCAAATAGGAAGCTGAAGCTCAGAGAGGTGGCTGGATGAAGATCGTAAGGCTAATCGTGGAGAGGGAGCTCTGTAGTCCAGACTTACTGTTTCTGGTTTCACAGGGCTGCATATTTTTCAGTGCCATCAGAGACTTACCCCAGGCATTGTGGTAGAAACTTGATAATTGGAGGCAAGGAGCATTCTTGCCTTATCATTTTGTTACTTTGCAACTACTCTGTTGGCAATAAACTAATAATAAAGAACATAATATGATATATTTTCATATATGAAATCTCTACATCCATCTAAAATAAGCTCTGTAAAGCTAAGGTTTATGTTTTATTTTTCTCTTTGTATCTTCCATATCACCTAGGAGTCATTCATCTTCATGAAACAATTATTGAAGTCAAGTGATGGGCATAGAGGATTGATAGCTCAAATAAGGCTTGGAAAAAGTGTACTTGCCTTGGAAAAAGTGTACTAGGATTCTAGTGGGAGGCGTAGACATATAAATGGATAATTTATAATATAATGTGGTAAGTACAGAGAGCTGTGGAAACATAAAGGAAGGAAAATGAACTTGAGTCTGAGACTGCTCACTTCTCTTAGAGCCCTCTTCTGTTTTGCTTCATGTTCAGCTTTCAGGAAGTACTCATTTCTGTTGTTGACAACTGAAGTTGTCTGTCAGAAAGCAATGTTGTAAGGTGACATACAACTACATATTTTTCCTCAAAATTGAGGAGAAAGAAATTTCTAAAGTAGGCATTATATTCCTAATTTTTATATGTGAATTAAGCCCCCCAACTCCTCAGCTCTTTCTCTGTTGGCCCTCTACTTCAGATTACCTTCTATGAAGACAAAAATTTTCAAGGCCGTCGCTATGACTGTGACTGCGACTGTGCAGATTTCCACACATACCTAAGTCGCTGCAACTCCATTAAAGTGGAAGGAGGCACCTGGGCTGTTTACGAAAGGCCCAACTTTGCTGGGTACATGTACATCTTACCCCAGGGAGAGTACCCTGAATACCAGCGTTGGATGGGCCTCAATGACCGCCTCAGCTCCTGCAGAGCTGTTCATCTGGTGAGTCTGGGGACTGTGCAGTCCCTGTCTTTCTCATACCCTCTGTCTGCTTTCTCTTGCTTTTAGGTGAAAATTTTCTTGAGTCTTTTCTACCTCTAAATGAGTAGCTGCTTGTTGGCTGCTGGGGCTTGAATAACATCTTAGAGCAGTTCATCACAAGAATGACTACACTAATTTCCAGGGTGCTCTCTCTGCCTCTTGAGTGTTTTGAAGAATTAATTTTTTCTTATTGAAAGTTAGCTGTTTTAATCAGTACATGGTGAGATGGGAGTTCAGATCATCTAGCTTTCAAGGTGATAAGTTCTGAGCAATACTGTTCTCTAAGTTCTTGACCTGCTGGTGATTTCCGTAATGGTTTCTGTTCATTTTCTCCTGTGTCTTTTCAGCCTAGTGGAGGCCAGTATAAGATTCAGATCTTTGAGAAAGGGGATTTTAATGGTCAGATGTATGAAACCACTGAAGATTGCCCTTCCATCATGGAGCAATTTCATATGCGAGAGATCCACTCCTGTAAGGTGCTGGAGGGTGTCTGGATTTTCTATGAGCTACCCAACTACCGTGGCAGGCAGTACCTCCTGGACAAGAAGGAGTACCGGAAGCCCATCGATTGGGGTGCAGTTTCCCCAGCTGTCCAGTCTTTCCGCCGCATTGTGGAGTAATGACATGAATGGGGCCATATTCTTCCTGAGGCCCAAATGCTGGCTGGCCTTGTGGTCCAAATAGGCATCATCAATAAAACAGTTGGCATGCATCCCACTGCTGACTATAACGCCTCTCCTTAAATGCTTCTAGGGGCCAGCAATATAATGCTCGCCACGGTGGGCAGTTACACTAAGCAACACATCCACCAGATCACCGATCTAGATCTTTGTGCCAAACAAAATGAGTCTCATTAAAAGGTTAGAAAGTCATACTGCCATGTGGTGGTTCCTTTTGCTTATGTTTTGCATTAATTCAACAGGCACAGTAATAATGGCTGCCATTTATTGAGTGCCTACATTATTTCATTTTCTCTTTACAACCCTGAGAGAGGTAGTTTGTCTGTATTTTATAAATAAGGAAACTGAGAGAAATTTAAAATTTGCCCAAATTCACCAGTTGGTGAATGGAGGAGCCAGGATTCAGCCCAGGCTACTTCTGCTCCCAAAATCATTGTTCTTCTTTCTAACACATGCATTCAACATGTTGGCTGGAGATCTGTGCATGTAGTGTCTGTAGAAGCCCCTGAAAAATTTTAAAGGTAGAAAAGAGAGGGTCCACTGATGTTCCAGTTGAGGGAACAGAGTATCTATCAAGAACAACCAGTGAAAACAGGGTTATTATTTGAAAATGATGGAGCCATAAGCCATCTGAAGTCCTTGTTTAAGATCCAAAGACTGCTGTGTTAGTTACCTCTCAACCCTAAGTTTAGACTTTTTGTGTAAAGAAAGGACATATTAAAAATGTCCCTATGTTATAATAGTTGAAATGGGAGTTTTATTAAGTTTTACTTGCTTTGAGTAACCCCTGAGATTTTATTTAATCTTGAAGAGGAGAATGATGAAGGAAACAGTATGACCAGGAGTATTTAGTGAGCATTCAGGTGAACCTGGGGATATGCGGAATGCACCCATCTGTAAACAAGATAGCAAAGCCCCTGTCGTCTAGGAGCCTTCCCCAAAAGGACAAATTAGAATTGCTAAATTCCGTTTGGGTATGCTCTGTAGTGTATAGTGCACAGTTGCCCCAAAATATGTTTATTCATATTATTATCTTCCCCTCCCTTTTGTCATTTTGTCTGTTTCAAGTGAGAGACTGAAAAAAAGTGGGTATAAGTAAGGGAGGGAAACATGACAAATGGAGAAGGAATGGGAAGCCATTTGCTGGGCTGCAGAGAGCTCTGGCCTGTGAGCTGACTGCAGCCATGAGCTCTCAATCTTGTCACCATACTATGAAGCTACCTTTCCTTATCTCCAAAACAAGGGAGTTGAGCCAAATGCTCTCTAGAGTCTCATCTAACACAAACATTCTCATTCCCCAGAGACCAGCAGGAAGACACTAAAAAACTAGCTGATGACCAAGGACTACTGACACTTAGTTTTAGAGGCACAATGTCCAGAAATGACCTCAGAGATCCACTGATTTTTTGCCAAAGAAATAGGCTGTGGTAACTGAGTTAGTATCAGTCTCTTTTCTCATATCAACTGCTTGCCATGTTCTTTGGTGAGTTGGTCACGGTCTGTTCAAAACAACTAGAAAAGCAGCTCTGGCAGCAGGATAGGAAAACAAGAAGTGTCAGGATGACTAACCACAGTTACAGAGAAGTAGAAGATGACTTTTGACAGATAAAAGCAGGATTATTATTTTGGAGTGTTGCATGCCTCCTGGTTCATGCCTTGGTCTAGAAAGAGATTACTATCATTTTCTCCAGCTGCAGACACACCAATCAACTTTAGGCTTAAAAGAAATTTGACTAACAATTGATATTAGAGCTCAAAAACACTTTATATCCTTATCTGTCAGTCAGTCCCAGCTCTTTTGGTAGAACATTCGGCTGTTAGGACAAGAAGCCGGTGTCTTACCTGCCACCCACACCCAGAACAGCACCTGATAATTCAGTTATCTCCCCCTACCTTTCATTGTTTTATCGCTCTGAAATGGGGGATCTCAATAAAATAAAGCAAGGACACCCTTAAACCATTTTGGCCCTATTTCCATCACAAGAATTTCTCTAAGACAAGTCTGAATATTCTCATATATGGAGCTCACTGTCTCAAAACAAAATATCAAAGGCTTCCATCTAGAACTTCCAAGTATTGGGATAGAAAAATAAATATAGTATAGATATGTCCCGTGTAATATTTGTGAAATTTGTCTGAAATTCAAATTTAACTGTATTCTATATTTTTATTTGCTAAATCCAACAACCCTACTTCAAGGACAAGGCAAGTTACACAGGAGTGACATGGGGCTAAGAGCAGAGAGTGGTGCAAGCTGTGAAAACGAGCACATTCCCCAATAGAAGGACATTTAAATACATTAAAAAAAAAAATCACTGCACACCAACAAAATACATCTGTATCTGAATGTGGCTTGTGGACCACCAGTTTCCAATCTTGGCTTGTAGGACAGCTCTGAATATCAGAAATTGTTTCTGGGATTGAGCCAAAATCTGATCCCTGAAGCTTTCAACCTGCAATCCTAGTTTTCATCCACAGGATAGCTCTTCAGGTATATAAAGATGCCTCCAGTTTGCTTCTATGGTGGCATTTCTACACTGAGCAATGTCTATTTCTTTCATCCTTTCTTTCTTGATGTGTGGGCTCCCAGACTCGTCACCATCCTGGTGCCTCTCCTCATGCTAATGGTCATTTCTCTCTCCCCACTGTCAAAGCTGTATGTAGTCTGACCAGTGCAGACTACAGCTGGAGGATTATGTTCAGTTCTTTCATCTTTTTTCTCTGATTTATACTGTTCTTAACTAAGCTCAGCTCTCCCTGTGGCCCAGCCCTGATATGGATGACTGGCTACCTTTCCCTAAGAGCCAACTCTCCAGTCAAAGGGCTAAAGAGTTCTCTTCCTCTTTTGGTAGTTAGACAGAAATGGATTCAAATTCCACCACTTCTATATGTTAGCTCTAAGTCACATAATCTAACATGTATGTATATCCTCAATTTTCTGTGAAACTAACATAACACCTAATTTGTGGGCATTAAAATGAGATGGTATGTGAAAAATACGTAGCATATAGAGTTAATTCTCATTTTCTGTAGTTTTACTCCATAAAAATACCCCAAACACTGAATTGCAAATACTGAACTATTGCTCTTAGATAAAATACTAGGTTAAGTTCCTGTAAGCCTCTGGTCACATTTTTGTCAACTGATCAATATATAAACTTTATTCATATGTGTTTCTGTTTAAAGACTCTGGAATATATGTTGTTGATTTATTAACATGGAACTCAGGGCCAGCAGCACTGTAAGTGCTGCCTGAAGAAAGAGGATCTAACAGGTATCTCAGTGAGGCACATTGCAGCCTTCTCAGGCTTAGGAACACTAGACAGCCCTTCAGCACTACATTTGGGGATGTTTTCAACAGTGACATTACCAATAAAGAACAATGCAATGTAGAAAACATGGCACTAAATAGGCTGAAAGGAGACTTGTTTACAGTATGAGAGCTGAAACGAGAAGGGGGAGCATTTGTTCAACCTTAACTGGGAATATGCTCATTGGATGACTCAGATTTTTCACTGCTCTGCTCATATCCATAAGTGATCACAAGAGTGCCACAATTAGTGATTTTTGCGATTACAATGAAATTGGAGGGAGTGGGTGAATTTGCAAGTATGGAATCTACGTTATAATGAGGGTCACCAGTTCTTTACTACCATGGTTGCCATATTAGTATTGTTTCTGAGCACTAAAGTACTTCTATTATCAGATTTTGTGTGTGTGTGTGTGTGTGTGTGTGTGTGTGTGTGTTTTAACTTGTCTAGCTTTTTAAATGCCTGTTTCTATCCCCTAGTTGTTTTCAGAAAAGCATCTCTGCATTTTTGGCAGATACCCCATAATTGGGAAGAAATATATCAGAATGGTCCAACCCATCCTACTACCTTGAAAAAGAGCCATATTTTTGTTATCATAGGAGTTTAGCCTTTTCTTAGCTCTCCCATAAGCTTCTCCCTTGGTTAGCTCCCAGCAATTTCCACAGCCAGCAGAATTGTCCCTAGAGTTCACACAAGTCCCCTTTATTTTTGTCTCTCTTTTCCGAGGTTCCTCAGGAGACAGAGGGTAGCTAGCTAATCACTGAGCTTTGGGTGACCAGCTTCTGACACACACAGGAGTCCCTCATGGGTGTGACTTCAGTGTAAGGGAAACCTTTCTGTCCACAGACACCTCACACCTTTACCTCTTCCTTCAAGCCTCAAACTTCAAAGTCAGGCAATTTTAGAACAGGAGAGGCTGGGGCTTCCCCATATACTGTAAAAACAGTGAGATGGGGCTTACTAACCCTAGTTTACAGATGAGGAACTGGGGCTCAAAGAGGCTAAACAACTTGTCTGAGGTCATTGGTTCCAAAGCTCTCATTCTTTCCATGGTGCCAAGCAACTTCTGCTTCTCAACTCTCAAGACAGAACCATGGTAACTTGTCTGTCATAGAATGAGCTATTTCTTTTTAAATAACTTTATTGAGATATAATTCACATGTCATAAATCCACCTGTTTAAAGCATACAATACAGTGGTTTTTAGTATCCTTACGATAGAGTGTGTGTGCAATCATGACCACAGGCAATTTTAAAACATATTCCTCACCTTGAAAAGAAACCCAGTATCCTTTAGGGATCACTGTCTTATCTATCTCTCCAACCCCTCAGTCCTGAAGAACTACTTCCTGTAGATTTCTGAATCTATTTTCTATGTGTATGTATTTGCCTATTCTGGACCTTTTATGTAAATGAAATGATAAAACACATGGTCTTTTGTGACTGGCTGCTTTCACTTAGCAAAATGTTTCCAAGGTTCACAGATACTGTGGCCTATGTTGTTGCTTCCTTCCTTTTTGTGACTAAATAATATTCCATTGTATGGAAATTACACATTTTGTTTATCCATTTATCAGTAGATAGACATTTGAGCTGTTTTCACCTTTTGGCTATTTTGATTTTTTTTTTAAAACAGAGACAGGGCCCACTCTTTTGCCCAGGCTGGAGTGCAGTGGCATGATCATGGCACACTGCAGCCTTGAAATCCTGGACTCAAGCAATCCTCCTGTGTTGGCCTTCCAAAGTGTTGGGATTACAGGCATGAGCCACTGTGCCCGGACTGTGTATAAGTTTTTATGTGAACATGTATTTTCATTTCTCTTGGGTATAACCTAGGAGTATAATTGCTGGGCATCTGAGCTATTTCTTAAATGCTGGAAAC